CTAAAGATGAACCGTAGATAAAAAGCTACCATAGTTTCTGACTTTTAACCCGCGCCCGGCTGGGGGTCCTGGATTTCCACGCCCTGCTGGGGGGGGGGGTGTTTGAACACCCCCCCCTTCTAACTCGGCTCCTGGGCCACGTAGCGATACGCGGAAGGCGGCGTTCGAAAGAGCGTCAAAAATAATGACGAAATCACTTCGGTCAATTTTTTGGTCAGGTCAAAGGTCAGGTCACCAGAGGTCATTGAAGGCAAAATTTCGCCGATTTCCGGGTCGAATGTCGAAAATTTCCAAGAAGCCAACGCATAACTCGGGAACCAATAGAGCTACAGCGCCGCGGAAAAGCGCATTCGATAGCCCTATTAACGCCCTTTCTGAGTAATTCTCTCAGATTTGACCTAACGTCAACGGTTTTGCCTGCAGGGGGCAAAAACTGCAAAAATAGCCGATTTTTTCGGAAACAGTTTTTCTGCAATAACTTTTGACCCAAGCCTTGTACGAGCTTACTTTTACCGGCATCGTGTTCCTCTCGTCAATACGCATCGAATGAACTATAACTTGACCTTGAAAGGTCAACTTGAAAATTTGACCTCAGGTCAAGGTCATGACCTGACCGGAAAGGGTCATGTTGCATATCAGTCGATCCGTATCGTCGAGCTGAACACATCTAAGGCGTTTTCATCGCTCTAGCATGCCTCTATCAAAAGTTATTCGAGAAAAACTGTTAGATACCATTCGTGACCTAAGATGACCTCAGGGCATAAACAGGGGTCACGGACACCATTTTCATGTTCAGTGTGTCTAAACCACTTGTAATTCGGTGTTTGGGAGTGTTTATGATGTCTTTCGTCCAAAAGAGGCGCATTTCAATTTTCTCCCATTGACTTATAATGGGGAGGTCGCAAAATTGACCTGACCTTAGGTCATCGATATCAAAATTCTGAGATAAACATTTTGTACATGCTATTGCTCTTAGCAATCGCTGAAAGTTTCAAAGCGATCGGTCACTCGGTGTAGCTATGACAGACATTGAAACTTTGTATGAGGTGAGGTCACTTCAAGTGACCTGGTGACCTGACCTTGAATGACCTTGGTCTGAAATTTTCACAACATGTGTAGAATTGATGTATGATAAGGTGTACCAAAAACGGCGGCGCTCCGCGCCGCCGTTTTTGAGATATTCGCGAAAAACCACAAGGGGGGGTGTTCAAACACCCCCCCCCAGCAGGGCGCGGGTTAATATTCATAGTTCAGACTCTATACGAATGGTTTTGAAGGCTTGAAAAGTCCTTCACATCCGTGAGGTTGGCAGATTCACAGTTTTCCCCTGGTCTGGACACTGATCGCCCCAACCGGAGCTCTGAACGAGGGGGGGGGGGGAACCGTCATAGGCGGGCTTACCTTTCTGTGTTACACGTAAAGTAATTTATTTTTGCACAAAAAATTAATAATAGGTAACCCTTTGCCCATAACTAACAGAAGCAAAAAACGAGTCCATTTCTTATTTGTTTTTGTCTTCCTTTAGTTATGAGCAAAAGTTTTTCATAATTATGATGATAATCACGCTCACGGCTTAAGATAACGTTTCAAACCATTCAAACTATATTTACTTTGCTTATTTACGAAATCATGTATACGTGGCACACCCAATGACGAATGAGGTCATCATATTATAATTTATAAAACAGTAGATGCGCACAGCGCCAAAACGCTAAAATATGGGTGACAGGTGCTCATCTCTAGATGATGCTCAGCACGCTTGATCTCCCGGGAGCTCTGGTGCCATATGTCGGCATCGCAGTGAACATTTATGAAGATGTTACAAGCTTCTGGGATGCGGATAAAAAGACCACGCTTGTACTATTAACCCTTGCTTGGGGAACATGAAATGTGGTCTGTTGACGCACAGATCTCGCTGGCACAGCGAGCGGCAAATACAAGGAAGGTACAATGATATTATTTTCACGTCGGTTGAACATTGAAAATCTTACAAATAGCAGCATGAAAAAGCAGGAAAAATAAGGAAATCGGAAAGCCTGAGCCGGGCGCTGCGAAACCGGTTCCATTCCAGCAGGACCAGTCCCGTAACATGACACAGTAGCATGATAGCGTCCCTCACGGGTTATACAAGCCTTTTGATTGCAGCGTTATATAAAACATTCATTGGGATGACGTGTCTAGTGGGTTACGTAAACTATTTTCGTAAGCGGCGTACACTCCGGCCATGCCACGAGGCTGAACATATAAGTCAATACCTTCGCCTTTTGCATGGTATGCTTGCTTACTCGTATGTTCCTTCATGCTTCAGTTCTCGCTGAGGGGTTAATGGGGCCATGGTATGACCTCGTTCTTTTTATGTGGCATCTGCCGACTTCCCACATGGCTGCATACGATCCACATGGTGAGGTTACAGCGTGCTTTCATAACATATATGCAATTGGACTCACAGTTTATTGCTGTGTTTAATAGATTCATTCTCTCATTCATTTACAAGCAGCTACCAGGTCTGGGCTAAGCGAAGGGGGAAGAGAGAGAGAGAGAGAGAGAGAGAGAGAGAGAGAGAGAGAGAGAGAGAGAGAGAGAGAGAGAGAGAGAGAGAGAGAGAGAGAGAGAGAGAGAGAGAGAGAGAGAGAGAGAGAGAGAGAGAGAGAGAGAGAGAGAGAGAGAGAGAGAGGAGAGAGAGAGAGAGAGAGAGAGGAGAGAGAGAGAGAGAGAGAGAGAGAGAGAGAGAGAGAGAGAGAGAGAGAGAGAGAGAGAGAGAGAGAGAGAGAGAGAGAGAGAGAGAGAGAGAGAGAGAGAGAGAGAGAGAGAGAGAGAGGAGAGAGAGAGAGAGAGAGAGGAGAGAGAGAGAGAGAGAGAGAGAGAGAGAGAGAGAGAGAGAGAGAGAGAGAGAGAGAGAGAGAGAGAGAGGAGAGAGAGAGAGAGAGAGAGAGAGAGAGAGAGAGAGAGAGGAGAGAGAGAGAGAGAGAGAGAGGAGAGAGAGAGAGAGAGAGAGAGGAGAGAGAGAGAGAGAGAGAGAGAGAGAGAGAGAGAGAGAGAGAGAGAGAGAGAGAGAGAGAGGAGAGAGAGAGAGAGAAGAGAGAGAGAGAGAGAGAGAGAGAGAGAGAGAGAGAGGAGAGAGAGAGAGAGAGAGAGGAGAGAGAGAGAGAGAGAGAGAGAGAGAGAGAGAGAGAGGAGAGAGAGAGAGAGAGAGAGAGAGAGAGAGAGAGGAGAGAGAGAGAGAGAGAGAGAGAGAGAGAGAGAGAGAGAGAGAGAGAGAGAGAGAGAGAGAGAGAGAGAGAGAGAGAGGAGAGAGAGAGAGAGAGAGAGAGAGAGAGAGAGAGAGAGAGAGAGAGAGAGAGAGAGAGAGAGAGAGAGAGAGAGAGAGAGAGAGAGAGAGAGAGAGAGAGAGAGAGAGAGAGAGAGAGAGAGAGAGGAGAGAGAGAGAGAGAGAGAGAGAGAGAGAGAGAGAGAGAGAGAGAGAGAGAGAGAGAGAGAGAGAGAGAGAGACCTCCGGCTTCGTCAGGCGATTTCAATCAGCGATCGATGCCGCACTGCTGACCGATGCGTTTATGGGGCAATCTATCGCGGTCCTGCTGCGAGGTTCAGGAGAACACACACAAACAATGGCTGGCAATCGGCAGTGGGTTCGCCACTCGCCAGTGCCACGAGCCGGTGTTCTGTGTTCTGGCCCGACCCGGTCGATCACTGCACCGGTTGCTCAGCGCGATCTGGAAAATCCTGGTCTCCGCTCCCCAAGGCTCCTCCCTCTCCTCCTCTCATTTCATCTCCTCTCCGCTCGTCTCGTTTCGTCTCCTCTTTCCTTCCCTTCTCTTCTCCTCTCCTCTCGTCTCTTGTCGTCTCTTCTCTCTCCCCCTCTTTCTCTCTCTTACTCCCTACCGCACTCTGTCTGTATGTACGAGTATGTCTGTCTCTCTGTCTCTTTCTTTCTTTCTTTCTTTCTTTCTTTCTTTCTTTCTTTCTTTCTTTCTTTCTTTCTTCTTTCTTTCTTTCTTTCTTTCTTTCTTTCTTTCTTTTTTTTCTCTCTCTTCCTCTCTCTCTCTCTCGCTCGCTCATGCTCTCTTTCTTTCGTCCTCTAGCGAGCACATCTATCGAAGAGATTGGTTTGAGAAGTAAGCGGCTTCAAGTAATAGGACAAGTTTAAAGCGAGCCTTTTGCCAGGAGGTAGTGCAACTCCTTCGCTTTATTTCTCACATTAGCAGTTAGTTAGATTTAGGTCGGCCCGAGGCACCTCCCACCAGGCTCCCGCCTTTTTTCAGCGAAATATTATCAGAAGTGAGAAGATCATGACATTGATGGCCTCATGGTCGCTCCTCATCAGCTCAAATCAAGATCGCTGTTAAATTCTTTTGTCCGCTATCATGGTTTGTATGTTCAGTGCTGAATTATGTGCGTTCTTCTATGATGAAACTGTCCCATTATTTGCTCTCTCAAGAAGATGGCTCACGTACTACCGGCTAGTTAAAATTCGTATGGCTATATTTTATCGGCCTTTTTGTGTGACACAAACCCATAATACTATAAATAGACGGTGGCAGTGATCGACAATAAAATCCTATTGGAAAAACGTGCTCCGTATTTTACCGCCCCAGGTGGGCTCCGCTTTTTGCCCTCATTATGTCGTGCGCGAGTGCTGCTTTTGGGCACGGTCCGATAAGGTCATGTCAACCCATCATTAGTAGCGCATCACTGGGCGAGGTAGGGAGGGGACACCGCCAAGTCACCCCTCGTTTTCTGCAATATTTTCCAAACCTGTGAACCTATCGCCACCAAACTTGCAGTGCCTTCTGTTGCATCAAAGTGGCACCTCTCCGTCCTAGGAAAAAATCGTTTCTAGCATAGGTTGGCTAAAAAGGATGCCCCAACTCCCAAAAAAAAAATGCCCCGGGCATTCAAGGTCCGTTTGATGAGTTACATTATCCACTTACACTACCCGTATTTCCGTGTTTGATTTCAATGTTCAGGTGAATGGTCAGACATAAATTGGAAAAACAAATATCTGCATTGTACGTATTTATTCACATTATAACTGATAAGCACTCTGCCGCTTAAAATGACGAGGACATTTTGGCATATGCTATTGGAAAGAACACATTCCTGGGCGAGCAAAACCAATATTGGCTTGCCTCGGCTCAGCTCTGAACCACAAGTTCATATTCATCTGTAGTGATGGAAAACGCAAAAGACATATGTACATATACGATTATCATTTCCCAATAGATTATATTTACCCTAGCTACAAAAGTCTGAGGCACGATCGTCACAGTTTGCACAGGGACTATGCAGTCATTTCGGGTATTTCAGCACACCAACAGGAAATAATTTGAAATTTGTGAAAAAAGCATCATGTGTTTCTCAGCACCAGATTGATTGAGATGCCTGAAATGCGCTTGAGAATTAAGATTTAACAGTGCCACCGATACCCAGGAACACACGCTGCCGAGCCTGTCGCACCCCTCCGGTACCTATATAGCTAATCTCAACACATTACCGAGCTTCAATGCCACATTCTAGCACCAGGAACGTCGTACCCCGGCCCCGCACACTAGGTGACGACGAATAGCCCAGATGCTGCCATCCTGCACAATACAGTTCAAACAAGGCCTCACATTTGACTGTTGCCTCTCGACATTATTCGGTGACTTGCCACTGACGTGAGGATGTCATACCCATTGACCTATAATAAGTACTTATTATACTTATACTTATTATAGGTCAATGGTCATACCACCAGACATCACACGGCGATGGCTCTTGGCAATGGCACGTGACAATGACACTGACAGCTACGCGCTGTGAAGAAGCTAAAGCGCGGCACTGTGGCAGCTAGCGCTACTCGTGTCTATAGGACTTGAAGAGCAGGATCAGGTAGGCGAGCAGCCGGTAGCCGACTAGAAGTGCGGCCAGGGCGCCGATGTCCACATTGAAGTTATCCTGGAATGTGAACCGAGATTGTCAGGATAGTGACAAATCTCGCGCCGCCAGGACAAAAACGGTTAGCAGACTCCGAGCAGAATAGCTGTACCTATGCCCTCCAACGAACGGACAATGGAAAACTGCGTGAAACCGTTCACCCTCTCGTCGATGAAAATAGCATGGATAACATAGCATGGATAAAATATGATGGATAGTTACCATCGGCTGCCAACATGATAACTTTAACCGGTAGAAAAAAGGGCACAGCAGTCTGACTTTACCACTCGCGGCGCGGACGGGCCACTTACCACGCTGTAGCTGAGAGTCTCCAGTACGACAGTGCCGTTGCTGGGGCACGCCGGAGAGCCCCCACAGTCGATGTGATCGATGTTTTGCCACTGGTTGATGCACAGCGCCTCATTGGCGTAGTTGAACCAGGACAGGTACTGGAGCCACTCCAGCCAGACGGGTACGGACCTGCAGCGGACGGGCACACACTCAGCGCCCGGCCCAGCCGCCAGCGGCCCTCACAGAGCTGGGAGCTTACGGCTGCATTCCGCCAAAATTACTCCCGGCTGAGGGTGTCTAAAAGCTCCAGCAGAACGATTCTACAAGTAATGGAGCCCAGCTTTAGCGTAATTATTGCATGGGTGCTGGGCATCAAGAAGCTGCTTAAAAAAAACGAGCCAACCTGTTCTTCACACATGACAGCTGCCACACTCAGATGCACGTTTATGTCATCCAGTTAAGTACAATCGTCAAATGACCAGCGAACCTTAAAATTCCTATGTTGTCGCTCAGTACTTTCTGCCATGCAGGGCTCGCTGTTATTGTTAAGAAGGGTTTTTATTTGTTACGTCGCTGTCGAGCAACACAACAACGCTTGATTGTTTTAACATGCGATAAGCCTGCGTCGTTAAATTGTTCAAGCGTTATATGTCAAAACATGAATATCCTAGGTTCTTCCATGCAGATCACCCGACCGTCTCACTCTCGTCCGTAGTCCCGCCCACAGTGTCACTCTCGCCGGTCTGTGGGAGGTCCGAATCCGGCGGCCACTCACCCGCTATTGAGGAAGAAGCCGCCGAACAGCATGAACGGGATGATGGCCGGAGCAGTGATGGCCAGAGCCACGTTCACACTGCTACTCGAACAAGACGTCATGTAGCCTGCAGAAGAGGGACACGGAGGTCAGCGCGTGCTGCGAGCCGCACCGGGCAGAAGCCGACCGATCGTGTCAGGCGGAAATTCGAACGGGAGAGGAAAGATAGTGCACGCGGATGAAAGACAGCTCACTGAAGCAGGACGAAAACACAGGAGAGGACGTCTGAGGAATGCCCGCTTCTATATGCGCACCGAGATATCATGTGGCGCCGAATCGAAACATCATATATAACCGTTTGCTCGTTGCGTGTTTAGAATTGTGTGGTTACTCAGTTTTTCAATGCCGTTGCTTCGCTGCAGAAATCCAATTAGTGTGCCTTTCATTGGGTAAGGCATTTGGTAGGTTCCTTTTCCTAAACGCGATATGAACGTTGCCTGCATCCCGTTAACCCTATTAGTGGCAGGCTCCTGGTTAACTATTTTGAATAATTAAGTAAAGATATTTTAAAAGTTTTGAACTCATTTCGTGGGCAATGCAAGGTCTGCTTTGCTTGAACAATTTTTTGACTGATTGCTTTGCCAACAATTGCAGTCGCCAACGAAATGGGAATTTTTTGCTTTTTTCCGAAAAACAGAGGCAAACAGTTTTTTCTTTCCATGTTTTGGCACTAATCGGACGTCTGGATTTTATAAACGGAGACAGCGATGAGATACCTCACTCAGGCCATCACCGTAGCCGGCCGGCCCCGGGCGGTGGCCTTTCGCCGTGGTTTCTATATTTAGATAATCGCCAGCCATCGGCGGTGATAGCCATCCTACGAATTCCGACCCATGGCCTCTGCGCGACCGCACCCGCGGAATGCTCGCGCCGCCTACGGAGACGAGAAGACTAAGGAGACCGATGGGCTAATCAGAATCCGACATCACACGGCAGGGGCGGATCCAGAAAATCTCCAAGGGAGGGGCCATTAGAAACCAGGAGGCCCCCCCATAATCCCACCTGTTGGAGGCCCCATCTTCCCACTTGTTGGGCCCCCCCCCCCCCTAAAAAAAACTGCGTCTATTGAGCTTATCTAGCTGTTCAGGCAACATCTCAACATCTGTGCAGGCTTGGAGGCCCTCTGTGCAGGTTAGGAGGCCCTGTAAAAGTAGTCATCTCTGTGAGTATAAGAGACCTCCAAGTTATGAAAAGCTTTACCAATCTTCTAACAAAGAAGTCTTCTCAGCTAGTCTTCTAAGAAATAACTAAGTGGGTAGGTAAAAAAAAACTCATCGGATTTCGGCCACTTTATTTTCAGGAGGCCCCCTTTTCAGCTTTTTAACTTTTTAACTTTTTATTTTATTTTTGAAAAAAATCGGCCAAGGGGGGGGGCCATGGCCCCCATGGCCCCCCCTTTGTATCCGCGCCTGTCACACGGTCGACTGCCTCTCCCCGCGGCATCGGATGCTGAAACGGAGTCTGACAGACATCGAGACCGAGTGCTCTGCGTCTGACCAGCGCGACCGATCACCCGGGTCACACGTTTTCCGCGCGCTAAAAAAGGAACACGGGAGGCCGGTCTCGGCAAGAGCCCTGCTCCATAATGAATGAACGGGTGGCGGCGCGCTGCGCTGTGGCCGGCGTCGTCCGATAGGGGAGGTTGGGGTAATTTGGCCGGTGGTGTAAATTGGCCGCCCCCACCTGTACAATATCTGATAAAATAAAATGAAATAACTCTAGTCTCTATTCATTTGTCATGGGTAGAACTAACTCGAGGACAAATGTCAAATCTTCCCCCCTCATACTTTTCTTCAAAATAAATAAAACATGAAACTTTTACTTCCGCTTAAAAAGTTGTATAACATGCAGTATTTGGGCTGTAAACGAATTCCGACATTATAGCGTCATCCTGGGGGGTTGTTCAGCGGTTCCAAGAGCAATTTCATTTAGTTCCGTACAGTCATGACGACTTTATAGACAACAAATTTCAGAATAGCAATGTGGGGTTATTTGGCCGGGACTAGCGGGGCAACTTGGCCGGTGCGCTCAGGGTCGCTTTGCTGGGGCGGCCCGTGACCTTTAGGTCAAGCGACTTGAGGTAGCGTGACCTGAAGTCAACCTTTGACCTTGACCTCCCGAGGTTAACACATACATGTTTCGATGCGGACTGACGAGAGAATTACGATGCTACTTTTAGTTTTGACCTAGCTTGATTACTTCAAAAGTTATTCGTAAAAAACTGTGCTCGCATCTAGAGCCGCTATTTTGGCTATTTTCGACCCCTGTGACCGCTGAGTCAACCTCCGAAATGCGTCAAATGCGTCGTAGGACACATGTCATTGCTGAATGCGAAGCTGACTCGCCTATAACAAAAAAAAAAAAATCCCGGCCTCAAACTAACACCGGCCAAATTGCCCCACACCCCCGGCCAAAGAACCCTGCTAGTGGGGCAATTTGGCCGCCTTGTAGACATTTGTAATACGTCACACATACAATATAAGTAATTACTCTAGCATTTCAAGTTCACTGTCCAGTAAAGTAAAATGAATGCGACACCTGCCAGCGCTGAGAAAATGCAGAAATGTGTCGTCAATTTTAAGTTACATCGTTTTCTAAAAAAGCGGCCAAATTACCCCAACCTCCCCTACTCGGCTCACTGCCCCGAGCCTTGCTCCCCGGCTGGGGTCACGCTGCTCTGGGGTGGCCAGGACCAGCAGTGGACCATGTCACCAGAACATGTCCCTGCCGTAACAACATCAAACGATATCATCAGACAATGTAGCCAGACCTACATCAAAATGAGCCGCTGGACGCGTCCCGGTGCATTTATCTCTAGCTCGGCTCTCCAGAGCATCACGAAATCAAACAAAATAGCCAATACAAATGGATGTGCCTGTCTCCGATCAATGTCATCCCGCGTTTCGGCTGCAGCAAACAAATCACCATTTTGTATTTATTAATGCTATAAGCAGAGTGATAAGAATTAAACAGCATGGATCGGGATCTTCTGTAAATACGCACACCTTTAACCCTCGCCCTGGCAGGGCATTTTTCATAACACGGCCTGGCAGGGGGGGGGGGGGTCGATGCGACCCCCCCCTCGCGATTGGCTCCTATGGCACCTAGAAACACCAAATTTTGTAGGTAGGTGGGCCCCCTGGAGTTCTCGTCCCTGTGCAAATTTGGTTGCTCTAGGTCAATATTTAGGGGGGTTTTGGGGGGTATAAATGTAAAAATTTCGCTAAAAACAGGTCAAAAGTTTTTCGCTTATAACTTTTGATCTAATAACGATAGAGCAAAAAGAAAAGCACCAGTGAACTTAGCACGTCAAGGCGCATCGAATGATATACTTTTTAGCTTGCTTAAGTGTACTTAAAGTTTTTCTTAAATTTTAAGTAAACTTAAATTAATAAATTAAGTTCAAGTTAATCAAATTGCATCATATCGCATATCATTCGATTCGGCTGATCACCAGGAACACAATGATACCATTTTTTTTAAGCTCTAGCGTCATTATGTGCCAAGTTATTGGCAAAAACGTCATTTGACCTCAATTGACCTCATTTGACCTGACCCATGGATAAGTACACCAAACAAAGAAGCACCAAGTGACCTGCTGATAAGTACTGTGGTTTCTAAGCACAAAAGTGATAGAACGAAGCGGATATCTCCAGTATTTTCCGAATTTAGCATTTTCCCATAGGCTTAACATTACGACGTAATGACCTCTAACTGACCTCAGGTCAGTGACCTCAAAAAACCCGAACTATATGTTATACAACTCGGTGAACTTAGCACATCCTGAAAGTTTGAAGGAAATCAGTCCAAAACTGTGAGCTGGACAGGTGCAAAAAGAAAATTGAAATTTGACCATGACCTTGTACCGGTTTTTCTGACCTGGTGACCTGACCCAAGGTCACCCGGACCTGAAATTTTCAGGTCATATGTAAAAAGGTTGCCCCATAGGCTGTGCCAAATTTGGCGGCGCTGCGCGCCGCCGCTTTTACGCTATCTTCGAAAAACCTTAGGGGGGGGGGTCGCATCGACCCCCCCTGCCAGGGCGAGGGTTAACAGGTGACTTCTTGTTACGTTGTGAATAGTCGGCATTGTATGTATAATACATAGATATGACCTGCTTTGCCGGCATTGGTACGGAGCCCATCTATTGAATTCCCAAGGCATTAAGGTTGTTGTCCTTTTTTTGGGGGGGGGGGAGCACGTTTAGCGCACTTTCCGCAGGCATATTTTATAAAGCTGTATACTGACTATTGAGTGCACCATCTCTACAAGCACCGTTACCGCAATATCAAACCGTTTCTGCTAGTCATTTTAAATCTGGCTACAAAAATGTAGAACTTAATCAGTAATCAACGTTCCAGATGTGAATGGCTCGTTTGAATATCATTAAAATAATGGTTTCCTTTATTGCTGTGCAAAGTTACCCTAAAATATGTATGCACGTAACCTAGAGATTAGAATCATATACGGAGTACATTTAAGGTCCATGACATTGACAATGCTCTAATAAAAGATCAAAATCATTTAGCATTCACCTCGCGCATGTGATATAGATATCGAGCGATCTGTCGCATGCCTCCCGACATTTGTTGTTGACCGACAGTCATCAATGCTACTATCGGCAACTCGATCAGCTTTTAACGTCGGCGATAACCGGTCTCCAAAGCTACGCAGCGGTCCTGCGTTACATGACAGTCTGCTGCTAAAGGCATCGAGAGACCATTATGAATACATCCTCCTATATCTGTTTGGCAAAATATTGTTCAAACACCAGCTTTAAGTTTTTATTGGTAGCTTTCGGAAGCGTTACAGCTTCCTTCGTCAGCCTTGGATAGAATTCTTAAAAAGACAGATAAACACGTAAATACAAAACAATTCAAAATTCAAAAAACGCCACTTAAACTTAAAGTGGCGCAGATATTCGAGAAAAGCTCGTTTCGTAATTCGTAGCGTTCCACTTCGTTGACGAATTCGCGTACATGAGTAAGCACAATAAACAAAAATACACCGCACGAACATTGAACTATCATTTAGTCGCCTAGCCGAGCACACGATACACATCTGCCACCATGACACCAGGTTTCACATTCAGCACATTTCCTCTCGCCTTGTCGATAAAAATACCCTCTTTGATTTTTCGTTTCCTCCAGTCAGACTCGTAAGCTAAGACTTTCACATCTCCCCAAGCGACACAGTGGCCCGTTTCTATAACATGTTTGGCTAGTCCTGAATGATTCTCGTCCAAGTTGCGTATCGCCCTCTTGTGCTCTGTTTCTCTCGCTTTAATACTACGACACGTTTCTCCTATGTAAATTTTTCCACACGCACACTCATATTGGTAGACCAAGCCCGTCCTGTGACACATGTCCCTCTTGTCCTTGGGGTGCACCAGAAAGCTTTTCAAATTCCTCTCTGGCCTGGTAGCAACCCGGGCAAACGGTTTGACCGCGCGTGTAACTCTCTCCGTGACCCCCTTCACGTAAGGTAGAACAACTAAAGGCTTGTCCGTCTGCTCCTCTCTGACCCCAGTCCTCTTTGGTCTGGCTAGTTTCCTGCGAGTGGCCTGAATGAAATGTTTTGGATAGTTGTTAGCCTTAAGTGCCTTATCTATGTGACCCGACTCAGCCTCCCTACTCTCCTGACATGATACGAAAGTTTCGCCCCTCTGTACCAATGACCGAATCACCGACTCCTTGTGCTGTTTACTGTGATGTGAGTTAAAATTTAGGTAGCTATCTGTGTGTGTTGTTTTCCTGTATACTCCTGTCATCACCGTCCCGTCCTCCCCCCTCCTCACCTCTACGTCCAAAAATGGAAGAATGCCGTCCTTCTCCCTCTCCACCGTGAAAGCCACCCCTGCCGCCTGACTGTTTAGGTGCTCGTGAAGACTCTCCACCAAGTCCCCTTTCATCACTACAAAAGTGTCATCCACGTAGCGTCGCCAGACCTTAACTGGATGGGCAAAAGACTCCAGAGCTCTCTGTTCCAGCTCTTCCATAAAGAGATTGGCTACTACAACACTAACCGGACTACCCATCGCTGTGCCCCTTTTTTGTTTGTAAAAAGCGCCGTTTACCTGAAAGTACGTCGTATCCAGGCATAGACGAAGTAGCATGACTATATCATCGACATCCATGGCAGTACTTGCCAGAACATCACTGTCGCCCTTCTCTTCCTCAGCCTGTAGCCTTTTTTTGGCCACATCACAAGCTACCTCAGTTGGAACCGAGGTGAAAAGCGAAGTGACGTCGAATGACACCATGTTTTCATCTTCGTCCAAGTTTAGAGACTGCGCAAATTGAACAAACTCCTTCGAATCTTTCACGTGGGAGTCGGTCTTCCCTACTAGTGGGGCTAGAATACGGGATAGGTGCTTCGCTATAGGGTAGGTTACTGACCCGATCGTGGAGACTATAGGTCTCATATTTATTTTTAATATTTTTTTTTAATATTTTGCCAAATGAATCCGTCCCAGCTCAACAACAACATATATAATCTCCTCCTATATCTGAGGGTGAATTTAGTTGATTTAACTGATATGGTGATTGGTGAAGCCCTGTCGCTTGCTAAACTACAAGGGGCATTGGGGACATCGTATTCGGATGTGGTATGACAGTTTGCAATCATCATTCAGATTCAGAGATGCAATGAGGCATGAGCAATGGTCATCATTTTCATGATATAGCTCTATGTTCACTGTTCAAGTTTCAGTTCAAATTTCTCTTCGAGTCAACTCCAGAGTGCTTGTAACATTTGAAGATACAAAATGCTTAGCACTTGATTTCCATAAATATTACTCAAAACGGTGCACTTATAGGGCTACAATTGTAATTGGTTGAATGGAAGTGGCTTGTAAGCAATTGTTGATGTGAACGATATAACGAAAAAGAAAAGAAGAGCAACTACTAAACCAAAAAAAAAACCAAAAAAAAACAGCTTTGGGTGGAATCACTCAGGCTCTTATTCGTACGTAGTAAGGTGTTAGGCGGATATTAACTTGGGCACCAACATCAGAATGTAACGTTTTTTTGTGACTTTAAAGGCAATTTTAAGGGCAAAAAATCGCGAATTAAATGAAGGTGGTACTAAATTTAAAAGAGCTTGCCCCGAACAATGGGCGAACGCACACACTGGACGAACAAAATCTACATAAATACGCACGCACACATACACGCACACACGCGTGATAACATCTGACGTCATTCGGGCTCAGTGTATAAACAAGCAGCGTACATAGAACATACATGATGTTCACACTCGGAGACCTACCGAACGAAGCTGCGCAGTTCGCGACCAAGATGACGATTCCGACGCAGATGAAGAACGCGGTGACATCGCTGTTCAGGCCCATCATGAAGTAGCTAATGGCGACGAAGACGGCCGGGAAGATGATGTAGAGAGGCAGCTCCGCCAGCGTCTTGGCTAAGAAGTAGACGTCGGTGCGATACATCCCGTTACCGTGTTCTCGCATGAAGATGGGCAGCTCCAGGCAGAACACCTGGACGGGAGAGGTGGAGAAGCGGATTTGAATTTACAGATCCCCATTTTTTTTTTCAGATCATCGAATTTCTGTGGTTTGGTGTATTTTGGAAGTGGCATTCGGTACCCGAACACCGTAAAAATGTTCACAAATCCGCCGTCTTCCTGCAATGTAACGTACTAACTACTATCATCTAAAATGGCAGATTCAATCATTTGATGGCCACATGTAAATGCAAGCGCGATTTCATAGAAGCGCTCATTGCACCGGCATGCCTCATAATGACCGACATCAACATACTACATATTAAGCCGTCGTAAAATTGTCCTTGGGCATGCGGTCCGAGGGCGATCGAGTCACCGCAACTATTGCGTGGAGGAATGTCTGTGGACGGTTCTGCGCAGTTCGGTAGGTACTTACGTTCACGACGCTGAACACGTTCTGGAAGGTCATGTTGGTGAGGAAGAGGAAGAGGGCGCCGTTGATGTTCATCACGCCCTCCTGGTTCAGCTCTTGACCGAGGTAGATGACGCCGAACAGGAGCGAGATGAACTGAAAGTGAACACAGCGCGGGGTAGAAATGGCAGGGGCTGGCTTAGCAATCTCCTCCCACCGACCTTAACGACACGGTCGTTTGAATTGGGGTGCCACAAGTCACAACTAGCAGGACCGTATATATTGATAAAGGGCTAGTACCTTCTGGTGCACTCTTCCCACCGTCTTCCTCGAGAGAAAATTGAGGATGATGTGTTGTTAATTAGAGTTTTAGAGCGCGCTGGCCGCAACGCTTTTTCTTACCGAGATCTTGGATTATGGGCGGCTCATTTAATTCGATGTTATTTATTGTATGATATTTTACTTCCACATGGGTTCCAGGGGATTGGTTGACGAAAAATATGGGTATACGCTTACTTATTTGCACGATCAGCGCGGTGCCAGATCTAATGAAGATTGCTATTATCAATTTTCTTGTTTTTATATACACAACTGCATTTTTGAGGGTTTTGAACATCGAAATCAAATACGCTTGTCGCGTGCCAGCGCTCAACACATCCGGTACATGAGCAGGCCATGGTGCGAAGAGGAAGCTGACTGTGTGTGGTACGGCTTCTGTCGCCCGGGCTCCGTTTCGGTTGCGGTTGATCGGCTGCTGGGCCTGTCTGCGGCCATCAGACACCGGTCGGCGACACCGTGAAGCCCGCCGTGCCGCGCGCGTGCGGATGTCCGCCGCCCCTTCCACCCTCCCAGCCGAGGTCACAACAGCTCGGTGATGCGGTAGCTGACCGGATCACTGGCCTCCCCACCCACGCCGCGCGCCTCCCCGCCTTCCCCGCCTCTCCCGCCGGGAGGCGTCATCGGCCCGTCTGTCTGGCCGTGGCCGAGGAAGGGAGGGAGGGTTAGAGGGGGAGTGGGAAGGGGAGAGACAGGCCGGAGCCCACCCTCGACGACGGCACGGTTACCGGTGTTGCTAGGCAGGCGGCGGCTACGGCGACGTATCACACCGCGATTTGAACGTGTCCTGGTGTCGACCATCCAATTCCCGGGATCGGCGGCGGCGTTTGACGGCTCAGTGGAACTGATATCGTTTGAAGACTGACATTCAATGACAATTCATTCTTATAAAACTGGTGCGCACGTGTGGATAATGTGTATTGTAATTGTAATTGTATTGTAACTACTGCCCACCGTCCTGCTTTTACCTTCCATAAAAGTCGCATGCATGCAATGATATTTTGAGTGGCACGATGAAAGGGTCTCTGCACCGTGTTACCGTGTTATAAAATCATGCATCGTAATGATAGTACTGAATGTTGATAGAGAAAGGTACCTGCATGATGTCGATAAAAATGGAATTGGTTTTCGAGGAATTGATCATATTGATCCTAACCAAAAATACCGAAGAACAACCAGGTACAAAACCAACAGTTTTTATCACATACATTAAAAGATCTTAAAATAAATGCGAGCACCGTCAGGCAGTCATTGTCCATTACATAAGTCCACAAACACTTGAAAGCCAAGATAACGCGTATCTTACAATGACAGGTACAACTGTCAAATCCATTGAAACCCGAATACCATTGCAGCATTACTCATATCTAGTTTGACAGTTGCTACGGATGGAATGGCATTGGGCGCCTCGGTTTCACAGGTATTTTTTAAGAATAAATTCCAGCTTTGATTGAGACGCACTGACAGAAGTCGATAAAAGTTATTAACCCTCGCCGGCCGAGGGGGGGGGGCGGGTGCCGCCCCCCCCATAGGGTTTTTTCGCGATAGCTCCGAACACGCTGGCGATAGAGAGCTGAAACTTGGCATACCTGACCTTTGATCCAAGCCGGATCTTTTGACACCAACCGCATTTTTGGGTCAGGTCAGGTCACTGACCTATGACGTCATAAGTGAACCTCTGCACGGTCTTCAGATGTCGCAACTTCGCAACGCCCTCACTGCCAGAGGAGATGTCACAGGGAAATGAAACTTGCAGGATCTAGTATCCATTATGAGTCCCACAACTTGTATATCTCGGATTTTTCCTAAAGGTCATATGAGGTCAGGTCATTTTCGTGACCTCACCATTATAAGTCAATGGGGAAAAATGAAAACTGCTATTCTGGCGCCGGGAACGATCTCCAACTATCTCAAGCACACAGAATCGTGATTTGATGCACTCCTTGCAAGGTTAGATGCGTCACTTTTGCAATGTTGACCTTGCGTGACGTCATTTATGACGTCATCAAGGTCATATTAGTTTTTCGTCAATAACTCTTGATCAAATTGAGCTAGCGAGTCGAGAAAGCCACCAATGGACTCAGGAAGACCTGCCGAATCGAATGATATTCGACATGACCTCTTTCGACCAGCTTCGTGACCTGGGGGTGCTGACCTGACCTTGACCTGAGGTCAACACTCCAAGTTGACCTGACCCGGACAAAAAGTATATCATTCGACGCGCCTGAGCGAGACGAACACGATGCTGCCAAAATCGGCGCTCTGCGGCCGTTTTTTGCGAAGTTATTCACCAAAACCTGAACCGTACCTTGGGGCACTTGACCTGACCTCAGAGGTCACCGGTTGACCTAGGACCTTAAAATCGGGTACCAGTCTCTGTGTCTCGTAACGGCGCACACGCTCGTTTTTTCCGCGACGCGCTAGCTCCACCAGGGGCGAAACGGCGAGGGGGGGTCGTACCCGCCCCCCCCCCCCCTCGGCCGGCGCGTATGTAGAAAACCAATAGGTCCGGCGAGGGTTAAAATGCTCCTCGTGGACCTTCCTACGTCGGTTGAGCCGGTTGAGGTGATGCTGCAAACCACTGCACCGCGCTTACGTAAAACATAACCGAACGCCGCCATTTCAGCTGGCGTGATGCCGTTGTTGGCCGCGCGGTGCGAGGCGGCCACCGTGGCGGCACGTGACCGTCTACTCACCACTGTTTGGATGATTTTCACTTTGAGCACCATGGGCTCCCGGATATTGGAGATGACCGACCGCCAGAAGACCGCCTTGAACTGGCTCCACCAGCCGGCCTTGTAGTCGGACCTGAAGAGACGGCAGCGGTCAACGGCGTCTCCCGCCGGGCGTATATACGTGCAGGTGCAGACGGGTATCGCTGGTTACACCCTATTGGCGGCGTGCTCTAAATCTCAGAAACAGTCACTGGGCCGCGTGTCATGTACGGTGAGGATGTCTGGCTTCAAATTAGGTGGAGATGTCGTTCGGAACGATAATAAGAGAAAATAAACATTTGTATGGATGATCCATAAAGTATGCATCCGACGGTGACGCAGGCGCACAGAATCTGTATCTCTGAGAAAGCAAACGCCAAGAGCAGGAACTGAAATACGTAACAGTGCCCAGGTCGCACCGATAGTATTGTTAAAGTCATATCTGCCCAGACCACATGGCGTGAAGAGGCACAGACGCAAGGCTTAGGTCAAGACAGGCGGCCCTTCTGAAGCCAGGAGTCAAATGTTTGTACGACTAAATGGTAAAAACGATGGATCGATAGCAAAGCATCGGACATGTATCTTCTATATTGAAATGTCATATGAAAATGTGCAATTTGTCATGTGAAGTCCATAACACGTCAAATGGCAAAAACTATCGAGCGTTTCAGATAAATACGGCTGATACGGACGAAGTGAACATGAATTACACTCGGATTACAACACAAGAAACAATATAAATTCCAAGTTCCTTTGTAATGTGTAAATATGTACTTGGTCATGTACATGCGCTTTAGGACGTGAAAAATTAGTCGTTTTCATCTTAAGCTGCCGTAGCAACCGGGTGGTTAAGCTGACTGATATGACATCAGATGACGTACGAATGCTGCCATCGCCATCGATCTTAACAAGCTTATCTCGGCGGGAGAGGGGTCATGGGGCCGGCATGGGCCTGGGGACACAGGTCACGTGTCCGAAGCTGCGGGAGGAGCGCTGGTGGAGGCGGACAGGCTTGTTGAAATTCCATTCATGGTGACTTTATGATATAGTCAGGAGAGTTTTATCGACTTTTTATCATGATTATGCCATGGTTCGATATTCGTCTGTCATTTTTCAATGTTTTATTTTCCTGCAACGTTTTCATCTGAATATTTTATCGCTGATATTTCATCTCACAGGAAGTACATTTGGCTCGAAGTTTCATGCCTCGTGGAAGTATCAGTCGTGTCCAAGTCTGCCGAAATGTAGAATCCGACTATGTGTGTCCACGGGCCACACTTGTCTGACTGATATTTCAATACCGCAGTGTCCCTATTCCATCTGATGACGTCTAACTGAGTTTCCAGCGGCCTCCCGTGACCTCACAGGGTCCCGCAGTGGAGTCACGTCATCCGCCGTCCAGATCAATTACCACAACCTTTTCTCTTTTAATTTCTACACCACTTGCTACACCACTAACGTCGGTAATAAGCTGATGGCTTGCAAAGATTTTCCTTAGAGCATAGACAAAAAAAAAAAGAATTCTCAGCAGACACCGATGGTCAGTAGGTACTTACCGATACGAGGCGTCTGTGTCGACGTCTGCGCTGTTGCCGCTGGTGATGGACTGCACCAGCTTGCCGGCCTCCTTGGAAATGTCCTGGCCCAGCTTACACTCCTATAAGGGTGCACCACGCAGGTCAGCGACGTGGTAGTTAAAAATTTGGATAGTTGAAGATATTTGTGATGATCATTTGTTTCCTGGCAATCAATTTAAAAGTTGAAGTAAAAATAAGAAATACTCTTAGCGTAAAACTCCTGAAAATTAATTTCAGGTGCAATGAAATGCTTGAGCCAACAAAGCTAATTCTAAAGCTCATTTATTCAGCAATTCTACCTTTAAATTGCTTCCCAAAGCATAACGTGCCTAGTGAGGAGCGTCATTTGCCTTGCATGACATGGACTTTGCATTCCTCACTTATTAGACTTCAGTTCCCAAGCAAACGTGGAAGCCAGACAGCGAATACCTTCACGGAGAGCGACTAACGATTACATTATCTTCTCCTTGTGATAGATGCATAAAAATTCGTGTTATTCATCAGTTCTCCGTAATCTTGGTCGCTACTAAACCGGTTACACTATTATGCGACACATAATGCAGAGACGCCGTCCTCCTCTCTCTCTCTCTCTCTCCCCTCCCTCTTTCTCGCCCTCCCTCCCTCCCTCCTCTCTCTCTCTCTCTCTCTCCCTCTCTCTCTCTCTCTCTCTCTCTCTCTCTCTCTCTCTCTCTCTCTCTCTCTCTCTCTCTCTCTCTCTCTCTCTCTCATACTCAATGTTTCTGTTGGCTATTTTGGGCCATGCTCCTGTTCTATTGGCTGCTCCTCGCGGGACTGGATAGTGTATATCGTACATGTGCTGGCAACGGTTACCCATCTATAAATTCGACCAGAAATGTTTCAATGAAATATGCATAGTAGACATTGAAGCCATAATCTCGTTGTGAGCTTATGAGCCTTTGACTGCAGTATTGCAAAAAAAAGCTATGCGACTTTTGGTTCGAGGGATAGCAGAGGAAATATACCCCCACTTCTTGGGTTTTGCGTTTGAACGCCAACCCCAAAACTGCACCTTTATATCACATCCAGAATGTGTTCCTATACATACTACGTGCCTATAATTCGCACGGTTACGTAAGTCCTTGTAATTAACTAATTTGTGGAATCCTTTTGAATAGACTAAGATGATGCATACAGCGATACAATAGATGGGAAGATATTTCATGACTGGCAACTATGAGCATTTAACTATAATCTGTGTTTCACTCCTAGAGTATGTTAAGAATTAATAATGTGCTTCGTGCACGCAGCCTCATACAGATAGACTGTCCCGCGGCTACACATGAAATATTAGGTGCAGGGCACGGTAATAGTAAGCGACACCAAATTGCAGGTACATTAGGCTCACCGTCGCACCTTCTGCAGACAGTCACGCATATCTCGGTGATTGGACTGGAACAGTCAGTCTCAGGTCACGTGCGATAGCATCAAATTGGGTTACATTGCTTATATCAGTTGCAGGTCATGCATGACTGCGCCAGGGTCAGATCTCCAGTTCTTGTGGAATGCAGCGTTAGGTGGTCCCGGACTGTGGAAGGTCAGGGTATCCCAAACTAGGCCAGTGTTCGGTTCCCACTAATGTGGGTCAGTCTGCGGTTGTTGGTAACCTATTCCACCTTAGGTTTATGTTGTCTGACCCACCGTCCCACCGTCCAGTCCAGGCGGCCGCTGGCCCTTTCTCGATCTCCACTGACTGCGGCCTGCGGAGCCCAGTCGATGGAAACTCTGTCCATCACTCCGCCGGCGACCGGTGTCCGCGTGTTGGCGAGCTCCGGCCGGCCGCCGCGGCGCGGGGCACCCACCTGAAATCGAGTGGCGATCTTGTCCACCCTCTGTCGGCACTGCTCCTCGTTTCCAGGAACGATGGCCATCGTCTGGATGAAGAAGTCGGCCGGGTTAAAGTTGGTCGGGCACGCGTAGCCCACTCTGCAAAAACCAACACGCGGCCCGTACAGTTAGCAAACCAATCGACAGATTGCCCGTAGAATATTCAATAAAATGTCACCACATACCACCTGCCGCATGAGCGATAAGTTACGTCCTCGTAGGCATGCTGCACTGCAATCGGACCGATCTGGGGCTTTTTGTCGTCGTCTCCCGTCTGTTTTTATTGGTGAGGTGTGCGGACGGCGGCCGGCCGCAGACAGTCTCCGGTGGCCGGCCCGCGGCGGTGAACACTGAACTCACTCTCTGAAGAAGTCGTAGGCGCCGTCCACGTCGCCCATGTAGGCCACGCGACCCTCGGCCATCAGCAGGACACGGTCGAACATGGCGTACACCTGGGGGTCGCGGCACGGGACGGGGTCAGGGCGAGCACCTCTCCCCCCGCCGCTGGGAGATCCACTCCGAGATACTCTACCCGCTACCGCTACTACAAGACGACAGCAGCTATGATCTGGGTAAGTTTCATTATTAATATGACACGTTTATGAGGCATGAGCGAAGTTCAGAGGGATTGTGTTGTGAGTTAAGTTCCTGGTTCAGAAGGATTTACAAGATGGGAAAATGGTGCTTCAGTAATGAACTATTCAGCAGGATGTGGATATGCGGTAATTTAGTGCATGGTACAAGTGTAGAAGCGCACGTAACACTCACGAATGATCGATTTTTAAAATACATTTATGGGCGTGATGCGAGACCTTAACTCGTGTAGAAACGAAGTCGTGATAAAGGAACTTCTTCCTTTTCCAAGAAGTTCAGGCACACAGGTAAATTCGTATTGACAGGTCAAATAAAAGGCGGCCTTCCCTCTCGTATCGCCCATACTACAGAGAATCGTATATCGTCCATGCAATTGCAACATCGTCCATTGTTTTGAACAGTGTCCTAGCATTATGCACGTTGGATACTGCCTAGTTTTTTTGTGGGCACACCAGAAGCAAGAAAAAGCATGCCGCTATGACTATTTTAGTCGATTGTTCATGTGGTGTCACAGGGCTAAACGATGGAACTGCTGTAATGTGTTGTGATTCGACTTTTACAGCTCACAGTTTACAATCTACCCTCATCCCCTCCCGGTCAGGTTTCACTCTAGGATAGTGCCCTCCCATTGGAACTAGCCATCTTCTCGCCAGCCCACGTCAGTCACTACGGCAGAATCATATTATCTTGTCGGGCCTGCCCTCGTCCATCTCCCCTCCCATCGACCCAAGTCGCCGCCGTCGGGAGACAGGTAGCCCAGGCGTCCCGATAGTCATCCCTCCGGCGGAGACACGGCGGCCAACATCAGATGACGGCCGATAGCGTCACGGGACGGTGATGAGCGTCCGGGGAGGGGTCGGCTTCCCGTACCGGACCCGTCACAACGGCGGCCCAACTGTGCGGGAAGTGGCCTGACCACATGCCAGTCAAAGCGAGGTGTGATAGACTACACACGTTTGAAGGTAGGTATAATGGTAGATGTCCACTAGGCTTAAGCTGGCTCACGTTCTTAGCTCGGATGCTGAGGCGACGTGGAATATGTTTTTATTACAACTGCATTGGTAAGCTGGATTCATCACACTTCAATCGTCCTGCTAAAAATCCAGGTTATGTGGAAATTTATGGAATTGTCATTATTTAAGGAGCATTTACAACACATATTTCTTGAACTGAATTTCACTGATTACGTCCCATCTGAGCCCAGTGCGGGTGTTTGGTTGAACGGAATCACAGACTGACTCTGGGATGTATCGGCGTAAGATCGGAAATGAAGTCACTAACGAAGCGGCGAGCCATAACTGTTAATTAACTATGAAACAGGGGAGAGTTGGCTGTGGATGCCGAAGGCTAAACTGTCGGTCTCAGCTACGTGAAGAAATGCAGCTGACTGAGCTGACTCGTGTTATTCACTCGTTGGTGCTTTGGACAGCCGAGGGGCCCATTGGAACCTCCTCGCTAACTCGTTCTTCACGCAAAACGCGGTGCTAATGACAACATTTGCCCGGGGCAGATGGGAGGTAATGAATAGCCGGGAAGGTGACGAAAATGGCTCGCAGTGGAATCCGGGCGCCCGAAAATGGCGCGAACGGTACAGATTTTAAGATTTATTTGAGATTTTACGATCAGGCAAGCTGGCTGTATCTTCATAAATTGGTGGGCAATTATTATTTACCAGCGCGATAGATACGATTCGTAGCCGAACAAACGGAACTAATGAATGAATGGTCGCACAATTAAACAAAGAAACAAAAGAAGATCCACATCTCGCAGGAAACTGACACGAGCTCCAGTAGCGTGGAAGAAAATAACGAATGTAAGTGTGAGGTGAAATAACTAATGAAATAGCCGTTAAAGAGGCAATCATTTAAGCAGTTAGCGGCCGTGGTCTGTGTGAGGGCCTATTTTTGGTGGTTAGGACCGGCGTCTGCCGCGGGCGGCAATTAGATCCTCTCGTCTCAGACCGGTACCGGGTGCTCTCCAAAGTAAGACGCACCGACACCCGTGCCCCGGGGACGTCGACTGGCCTTGTGTATAAAGCAGCGGGCGTTGGGAACGGTCGCTTTACGGTGGACTCCTGCGGGGCGAATTACTGTCCTCGATGACCCGGCGGGTCCTGCCGACCGGCCGGTAGCAGGAGGCCGGAGTAGCGCGGCGCCGGGGGCGGGGGTGGAGCCAGGGGCGGGGCGGGGTCGGGACCGGAGTAGCGCGGCGCCGGGGGCGGGGCTAGGGCAGGGGCTAGGGCAGGGGTAGCGCCGGGACCGGGGTAGCAAGGGGCCGGGGCGAGACTGGGAACGGGGCCAGAGTAGGGAGGCGCCGGGGCCGCGGTAGCGAGAGGCCGCGGTAGCGAGGCGCCGGGCACGGGGTCCGGACTATGGAGTACCGCGACGGCGGGGTCGGGGTGGCGCCGGAGCGTGGCCGGGGCCGGCGCACTCACCTCCGAGCTCGGCTGGTGGATGGTGCAGATGACCGTCTTGCCGCGCTCGGCCAGCGTCTTGAGCACGGCCACCACGTTCTGAGCCATGAACGAGTCCAGACCGGAGGTGGGCTCGTCGCAGAGCATGAGCGGCGGGTCGGTGATAACCTGCGGGTCAGCGCCGACCGACCGACCGTCACACACCTGCGCCCTCCTCAGATATGACCATAGATAGCCGCCAGCAGATGCAGCAACTGCATGCCTGCATTTATTTTGCACTGCATATATGTACCTATTTCGTTTCACATTGAGTTAGTGATGTTGCAAGCACATGTAGAGGTAGGAAATATGGTACACCAGCTAGGCGCGCGATATCAATGCGTAGTAATTCGCGCATTACATCGTAAGTCAATGAAAAATAACAACGGCGTGCTGATTATCGTACCTCGCAGGCGAATGAGAGCCGCTTCATCTCGCCGCCCGAGATGCCCTTTTTGCCGAGTGACGGAGAGCCGATGACGGTGTCGGCGCACTTGGTCAGGCCCAGGTCCTGGATCACATCGGCCACCCGCTTCATCCTGGCCTCGTACGGCACGTGCGAGTCCATCCGCAGCAGCGCCTGCCGGGGACGGACGGACGGGGGAGGCGTGGTGTAGATGGAGCGACAGGTGTAAGTAGTGTATACGTTTAGGGTAAAGTAAGTACATTGCACGTCAGTAAACAGTCGTGACAGCGTGTGCTGTTTATTACATACCGTAATCGCCATCAATGTACATTGTACAACATGCAGTCTAAATGTGGATGAATGTAGCATGAATGCATGGATGTATGCGCGAGTATCAAAGGCAGATTCTGCCACTCCAAAACTCCAGGGACCGATTCGCGTTGGCGCACTAAGGCCCTAGTGACACTTGATTTCAAGCGTCACTATGCGATTTCGGTTCGCGCTGAGCCACTAGCCGATTGGTGTAAAATACCGCTTAGTGTCACTACATTCAAGTGTCACTTGGCCGCCTAGTCTTACTAGCTTCCTAGTGCGCCATCTCGAATCGGCCCCTGGTCTTTATTTATGTAAAATCCATTTACACGGCTGACCAATACCAGCCGTATAAAACCAAGCATCCCACCTTAATGGATGCCTAATTGTTCATCGATAAAACCGATCATCATGATTTATGGAAACTGGTTTTCTGCAAAACAGATAGGACCGGGGTCGTTAAACGATAACCGGGAGATTCCGCCCTTAGGAAATGAATACCACTCAGAGAGTTCGAGGGTCGAGGGAAACAGGTGCATTAGAAAAACGACCGTAAGCGGATCGATGAAACACTAAGATTTTAATAAAGAAACTACTTAATAGATATAAAGGTGCAACTGAACATAAGCAGGAATAATATATTGTTAAAAATTCAAGTGGCAGGTATGATAAAATAATGCAAATAACATTATGCTCGACTCTGTGGACTCACAACAAACCTCCGGCCTTACGTAACGAAAACCTTATTGTCCAAAGCGAACGATTGCTTTCGAATAAGATTGATGTGACATCTTCTGGAATTCTCAAAGTAGATAGCATTTAAATGGCCAAGGGGAAATGTAGGTACTCGAGTTTTGGCTGTATTCCCCAGTCACTGGACGTCAGGCAGGCATTGACCATCTAGTCGGCATGCATCTCAGGTTGTGAGCTGACATGCCAACCGGCTTAGCTCCGATGAACAATGCCGAAATAAATAACAGCATTCACAGTCACACTGGCTTTCATTCTTATCATATCGATACCGAATCGCAGTGATTGTTTTATCGGCAAGTGTCCCATAGATCATTCGTCCAATGTAGGCAGTTGCCCGGTCATCAGATCCACTGGCGGAACCATCAGACGGTGGACGGTCCGCCAGACCAGACCACTCAGACCACCCAGACCAGACCAGACCAGACCACTCAGACCACCCAGACCAGACCAGACCAGAGCGGCGTCCTCACCTGGAACCGGAGGTGCTCGCGGACGGTGAGGGTGCCGATCATGAGGTCGTCCTGCTGCACGTAGGCGCCGATCTTTTTGATGGAGCTGAGGTTGGTGGTCTCGCCGTTGATGGTTCGTCCGCCGGTCACCTTGAGGCCGCGCAGGTTTCGGAAGGTGAGGACGTTGAGCAGGGTGGTCTTGCCGGCACCGGAGGCCCCCATGATGGCCACAAACTCACCGGGGTGCACCACGCCACGGACTGGGGGAGGACGGGCGAGGGCCACGAACGGCGGTCAGAGTTGTAAGCATACCAAGCGGTTCGGGTGCGATATCTGGTGGCCCGGTCAAGCTGATAGTTGCACACGATGGTTGTCAGATCTTGGTGTTTGACGTATGCGGTCTTTGGAATTGATGTGGTTTCGGATGAATGTCATGTCATTTTGTTGTTCTATGTATTATGCTAAATTTGTTTACATACTTCTGACTATGATGCAAAATAATTGTGAGTTGTACCAAAAAGGATAACCAGTAACCACTAGGACTATGGGCAACATGTGCTCACCATCTTTGAGGATGTGTTTGCGTTCTTTGGGCTGCGACTTGCCGAAGCTGAACCGGCTCTTGCTGACGCGCGTGTAGACGTTGATCTGGTCCCAGGCGTAGGTGGCCTGCTGGTACTTCTCCGGAGTCACCATCACTGCCGTGGAGCCCTGGAACAGGCGCGCCAGGCCGGGTCAGACGCAGGGTAGGGGGCTCACTGACTGCGCGTCCGCCGCGCACTCGACGACCGAGGCCCGGACGCTTCAGATCCTCAGCGGCCTGTGAGGACAACAAGTAGAAATTGCGGTGTAATGCGTGATAGGATCACTTCTGTCTGGCCTATGCAAAGTCGTGATTCAAGCAAGTGTACTTATTTTAATTTAGTTGTTAATTTATGTAGCCACTAGCCACATATTATGATGACATCAATAAAGACATGCCGATCGCCCCTACACAAAGCTAAAGGATGGCATTGTCCGTGACGGGTGTTTACGTACCACCGAAGAAATTGCAGACTTGTGGCCTGTCGAGCTGCCAGCTCCACCATCTTGTATCGCATCGAACGCTTTGTTGTCAATGCCGCCCGCCATTTGACATTAGATTGAATTTGTATTTTGTAAATGAGTACCGCTCAAAACAATCGCTATGTGTTATTATGCAGGAGTACTGAACAGGGATGCGGAGCCGTGGAAATTTCAGACGGCTCCGGCTCCGGCTCCGGCTCCGGAGAAAAAAATCGGCTCCGGCTCCGGCTCCGGCTCCGGGTGAAATGTTATGGCGGCTCCGGCTCCGGCTCCGGCTCCGAGTAAAATGGTCCGGCTCCGGCGGCTCCGGCTCCGGCGGCTCCGGCTCCGACTCAGTACATCTCCTATGCAATCAATTAAATACGGGTGGAAGAAAAATTGGATTGGTACACGTAGCTTCTGTATTTGCATAACAACTAACAACTAAGGCTATTTTTCTCAACAGCACATGCAATCAGCGAACAGGGTATATAAGCACGTGGCGAAATGTTATGACTATACGGCCGCGTTACTCTATGCCATGACCGGCTCACCGCGTCCCCGCGCAAACGCACCTCGGAGAGAACTGGCAGAACAAAGGACTAGAAAGCATTGGAAAGGACATTGGAAACGCAGTCGCCACGAATCGGAGTTCACTGAACCATCGTAAGCTGACACCCATCTCGGCTGCATTGGGGGTGGGGGGGTGGGGGGGGGGGTGGGAAGAGACGGTGCTGGGAGTCGCAGTCCACTGCACTGGCTTCAAAACAATGGCCGTCACCTGATGACCGGTCCTCATGTTCTGGGGATGCAGTAGACGTGGGGGGGGGGGGAGCAGACAGGAAGTTGATTGCGTACTGTGGGATGCTGGAGATATACGGCTTTTTTCATTCACTTGATGGCCCATGACGTACTATTGGTCTCAAGATAAGGGCCCAGGCGACCTGTAGTTTTGATGCGGTGAATACCCTTACCCTCGCCATAACTCGGGCCGAGTGCACCCCTCCTACCAGCCAGCGCCACCCCCACTCGAGTTGTGGCGAGGGTGAGGGTATTCACCGCATCAAAACTACAGGTCGCCTGGGCCCTTATCTTGAGACCAATAGTACCATATGTTTTACTGCCTTATACTGTCAAACCGAACTACATAGGTCAATTATTTTTTTTCCTCTTCAAAAAATAAAAAGGAGCCGGAGTCGCCCCCTTTTTTGGCGGCTCCGGCTCCGGCTCCGGCTCCGGGCTATATTGTTTCACGGCTCCGGCTCCGGCTCCGGCTCCGGGCAAAATATGCCGGCTCCGGCGGCTCCGGCTCCGACTCCGGCTCCGGCTCCGCATCCCTGGTACTGAAATATTATAAAAGTAATAATGGATGCATGGATACGATAATAATATTTACGACCATAGACTAGTTATACCAGTTCAGAAAATCACCCGCTGTCGGTATTTTATTTCTAAAAGTCTCCCACAAATCCAACCAACCACGCAAAATGATAAGCATTGATGTGGGCACATATTAGCCGTTTTCACGACGGCCATCTGGTACACATTTGGTGCACATCTGGTACAGATTAGGTGCAGATTTGGTCAAATCAGGTTCAGTGTGTCTCTTAGCAACTATCAGCTAGGGTTGCACTAATTGCTTATATGCCTGCTTTGTCATATTATCAGAGAGCATCATCGATTAAAACACTGAAATAAATTCATAAAATGAAGATATTTGCTGTAAAAGAAATTAGGTGCAGATTTGGTCAAATCAGGCGCATTCGCCAGATAGCCCGTCGTGAAAACGGCTATTGTGTAGCTGGCTGACATATTTTTTTTTTTTTACATCAGCGGTTAGGTATTTTTTTTAGTGGCTGGGGAAATTCGGGGGCGACCTTTAGGCAAAAAATACCGGCAGCCGGCCATTTTTCTTTTGGTAGAACTGACCTCTTGTCACGTCAAATAAAAGTTGTGCCAATCGTGACAATGAAAATTTTTGCTCCATTTTATTGTAGGTAAGATAAATATTTTTTACTGTCACATTTCATGAACTACATAGCATTATCATATTAACAATAACGAACTCTATCGTCTTTCGTTCAAGAATGATACATATCACCCAACCTATATTATCTGATGCCTTTTTTTGCTATGTTCAATGACCCAGAACGTCCCTGAAACATCAGTCTACCATGCGAGGTCTCGGTAGTCGGATTCCTCACACCGGCTACTAAAATTAGACACAAAGGTCGCTTTCATAAAAACTGCCAACAGCGCCGTTACGTACAAGGCCCATGAGGCTATTTCTGGACCGAGATCAATCATCCCTACCGAACGCCGCGCTGCACAGTGGGGATTTTTCCGATCTAGCACGTATTTATTCGTAGAGGGCAAACCATAGGTAGAATTGTAGCCAGATTGTGCACAGATGTTGGCTGGTGTGTCCTGGTGAGAATTTTACCTGTAAATGTGCATAATCAACATAGTATAGGGGGTTCAATTGGACCCCCGCTCAGTCGTTTGTCCCCTGATCAAGCTAGAGCTTCGCGGAAAAGTCAAGCGTGCTGCCTATGACGAAATGAGGCCGAATATATCCAATTTCAAAGTCCAAGGCCATAAGCTGACTTTCCAAGTCAGTTTAATGACCCAACTAAAGTTGGGAAATCGAGACCTCTTGAAACTTCGCAAAGTTAGGGTGTTACGGGGTATTTTGGGGTGCTGATCACGAATTTCATGTTAGTTTTGATCACAGACGATGTCTTTATGCATTTAGGCCAGGTCGGGTCAGGTCAGGTTAGATCAACTAGTAGCGTCCTGCCGGACATCCATAGAAGTGTCACCTACTACTGATAGCTTCGTAACATGGAATGAAGGCACCAAAACTACTTCGTAAATATTCAAATGGCTGCTAAAATCGAAATCAGCACCAAAAACTACCCTAGAAACAAGTAAAACTCGAAAAAGTGAACCAAGGTCATCAAAAGGTCAATGACCTTGACTTGACCTTCACGTGACCTTGACACCCACCATTATGCATGGCACCAACATCATTTCACATATTTGAACGTTTAAAACCACAAAAAGACTGGAAACCACGGATAATGTGAGCTGGCATACGCCGAATCGCGATTCCGGCCAAACATGGTCTCGAGAAATATGCCACAGGTCAAAGGTCAGTTGGGTCAGAGTCATGAAATTTTTAGGTTAGATGTAAAATTAATGATCTCGAGTGGACCAAAAGTTTCGGCGCAATCGGCCGCTTTTTGCGCGAGTAATTTGCGGAAAACCATGGGGTTTTATCCGACCCCTTCCCCCTCCCCCTCCCCACAAGTGCGATGGTTAATAAGGTTACCGTATGTATAATTTACGCTTGTCATCCTATTCCTAATGAATGTGTCTCAGAAAATATGCATCATATAAATCACGAAGTAAAATTATTCGCCTATGTCCGGAACATACCTATATCGTGCTGTTTGCCCTAGCGCTCCTCGAGTGGGGTGTTAAGATACTCTAATGTGAATATTCCGTGTTCAGGCAAGTTTCGGCAGCCAAACTAGGCGTTGTCTTGTGCAGGAGAAAGTGGCGAATTCGATAGGATATATTTCGGAGTGGAAAAGTGTGGAGAACATTGTTGATTTCCTACATTTATTTAGAATACCATTCCTTCAATATGGTGTCTGTAAGGGTTTTTTTGTAAAGGGCATTTTTGTGACCTTAGTAAGGTTGTGGTATACTTTCTGTTTGCCATTCCATTCCTAATAAAGGTGCCTTTCAGACGATATGCAACTTTAAGACCTCGCAAGATTAAACCCAACAGGACAGGACAATGAAATTGAGCTATACTTTCGGGCCTTGCTGAGCCCATTGAGTAATCACGCATGAGTGTGAACTTTGGGCGCATTTTTGCTACTTTTGCTGTGGACATACAGATAAAACAATACCACATATGAAAAATTCAGACATTTCTTAGCCCTACTGACACAAAAAATAAACAAAAAACCCAAAAAGATTTTTTTGAATTAAGAGGCGCTAGATCGGAAAAATCCCCACTGTGCGCTGGTCCGCCCGCTCTCCGCGCTTACCGGTCACCCGCCGAGACCGCTCTGCGCCGCGACCTGACCCGACCTCGACCGACAGCTGATACATGCCGTCCGAGGTCACTGGTTTCATAAACAGCCGCCAGACTGCAGCACTGGCGGTCGGCGACGTCCACGCAACTAAATAATACGTGTTTAAGTTAAAGGGAAAATGGTAATTTATTTGATTAAGCTAAAAGGAGATAATTTCGAATGCTGATGTTTTATTTAAATGCATCCGAACAGCCATTTTCAATTATAGGCATTGATGTGATGTTCATTTCTTATTTCAATTTCCATTTCTCGGTTGATTTATATAAATACTCGATAGACCTCGTGGGAGATCATGTGCCGGCCATTATAGGTATCATAAAGTGCCCCCGTTATCATCGAGGTGACGCTCGTACGACAAGAGTCGGCCAAGGACAGCGCCGTATCGCACACCTTGGCTGTGTAGCGTAGCACTTGTCACTTGGCAGGAGCCGGGAAACGCTCCGCTCAACGAGGTGGTAAACGCACATCCATTCCTCCGCAGTTTCGCGAAAAGGTAAATGAAGAAAGACGGCAGTCGAGACGTCATAACCTGCCGCGTATTAGGATGCAAGAGCC